GCTAGTATAGGTAGCCAGCTTGCTCTGGGGATTCCTGTCTCTGCCTCCTGTGCTATGATACAGGAAAGTTCCCATGTCCACCCGAAGTCTATAGATGCTAGGGATCGGTACCCTAGTGCCTATATTTGGTTGGTAATCATTTTACTCCTTGATTCATATTATTGGCCTGAGGAGCAGGCCCTTACTTGAGACAGGCTATCATAAGGACCATTTACAAGACAAACTTGGTGACACTTGCTTATGATCTCAGTCCACAAGCCTCCATAGAACCGCATCCCCATATCTCATTTTTCCATAGAGGTTTGCCAGTCACTTGCAGAGTAAGATGCCTGCTTCTAGATTTCAGGATTTGATTAATAGCTGAGTGTAACTGTTAAGTCATTTAATAATCTCTTAATTTCAATTTATCTGTAAAACACAATGTGAAAAATGGCACACCTCACACACACTCTTGGAAACACCAAATGCCGTTTGCATTTTCCTTTCATAAATAAGTGAAAATTCCATTCCTTCTCATTTTGATACATCTGTATTCTTCATACCCAAAACTAAGACACTGCTGTACTCTTTCATCACCAAGTTGGCGCCTTGGGTCATTAATTATTGCAGTCCCAAGGTCTCTTGGATAAAATAGCATCTGTCACCCGCGAGGGAAGGGTGAATGCACACCTGGACAGAAGATGGATCTGAGAGCGCACAGCAGCTCCCAGCTGTGAGCACAGACAAGCACACAAATACCTGTCTGACACAGAGCAACGGCTGCTCTGCTTCTCAGAGCAACTTGGAAACCTTGGCTGTAACAAAATCTTGTGTTGAAAATCACAGATTTGGCAAAAAGTAATTGTTATCTTGAGAGGAAGAGCTGCAGTTGACAAAGCTAATGAAAACCTACTCTCTTAACAGGGACATCAGTGATGCGTGTGCATGGGTCTAGCAGGACAATGAGACGATTCAGAGTCTGCCCATGGATTCCCAGCAGCACTGCTTCTGTATTGCATGCAGGCCAAAAGATGAACCTGTGGCCTCAACAGCAAATGTGCATTCTTGTTCCTCGGTTTCCTGCATTCCCCTGAGGAGCTGGGCTCTGGGACAGCCATAAAGAAATCATGATCTGTAAGCCTCAGAGAGAATAGGGGTCCTTCTGCCATCCATCTTCTGTGCTGAAACTAGAAGCAGCTCCCTTTCTGCAGGACTCCAGAGTCAGGTCCCAGATGTGGTGAGAGTCCACAACCTCTCTCTGCTCTGCCCTGGCCCTGTCACTAACATCTGTGAGTTACTCACTTTGGGGCTTTGGCTTCTTTCTATTCTCAAAATTGGAGCTGAACATCCCTTCTTGGCCCTCCTCAGAGGATCAATTACTGCATGCAAATGAGAAAATGAACATCAGCAATCCTGAAAAAGTGAAGACCCGGAACCTGTGGGGGAAGGGTTTCATGTGGTATATGTATGTGAATGTGTGCAGGCATGGTGTGGACACATGCATGTGGTGTGTGTGTGTGTGTGTGTGTGTGTGTGTGTGTGTGTGTGTGCGTGCACGTGAATGAACGTGGGGTTTGAGTGGTTTGTATATGTGTGGTACTCCACATATGTCAGAATATATGTTGCCGTGGTAACCACGAGGCTGTAGGAATCAAGAGAAGGTTAGGCACTAGAGTCCTGACTGGCCAGGACAGGTCCCCAGTTCCCTTTTATGCCTTTCTTAGGCTTCTGCTGTAACTAGGAATGAAGATCCTTTGACTTGCTACTGAGGACAGCCTTGAGCACATAGGTGAGTGTTTCCAAGGAAAAGTGATCGGTGCTGCCTTTCCTTCCTTCTTTCTGTTTTGAAAATGCATATGCTATCTGGAGCTACAGCAGCAAATCCTGTCATAATGAGGCAAAGGTACAAGGACAAAAGTCCATGTGTGAAGGAAGATGTAAAAAAAAAAAAAGCAAAACACAAAAGATTTTGGGTTTCTGATACAACACAGAAAAGTTGAATCAATTCCAAAACCCTACAACATCAATGGAAAGCAGGAGAAAGATAAACCCTGATTTGTTTAAGTGCCCATTAGAAACCCGGTGGACTGTAGCCCAATGTATTCCTGAGGAAAAGAAGGAAGCCGGAACGACCCTATGAAGGCATCCGTCAGACCGTTTCTCTGCAGGCAAACACCCCCATGACTCCCTTCCTCACTCAAAGTGGGGCCAGAGCCAGAATCAATCCGCAGGCTCTAAGTCTCCTGGTCCATTCTAATGCCCCCCAATTTATCTGCCAGTCACAGTAAGCTCGTTGGTAGAGACTCAGCATTTGTGCTTCTGCAGCTATGTTACCCCAAGGGAGCACCCCCACAGCCCCCTGCAGGATTTCCCACAGGCTCCCCTCTCAGTGAGGCCTTGTAGCTATCCTGTCAGTATGTCTGCCTGCTATACCTGCCCGTTCTTGCACACTTCACTTCTATGAAAATTTTAATATGAACATATATCTATGTATTAGTTGTTTTTTGTTTTTGTTTTGTTTTTGTTTGTTTTATTTTTCACCTTGACAGAAGCTAGAGTCATCTAAGAAGGGCCCTGAGCTGAGGAACTGTTTCCATCAAATTCCCCTATGGACAAGTCTGTGGGGGTATTTTCTTGATAAAAGATTGATACAGAGGGCTCAGCAGAGCATCCAACCCAGCTTTGGAGAAGGCTCAGCACATGCTTTCACCCCTTAAGGCCAGAACGGTCCCCATAGAGTCCTTCATTTATGCCTCAAGCTGAGGCAGCCTCCTCCCCTTGATGCTTCTCAAGGACACCAAGGGACGGAAGCTTGTTCATCGCTCACTTCATGTTCAGGAATCCTTTCTGTGGCATAACTGATATGGAGAGAAGTTCCACACAGTTCTCAAAGAGTCTGTCTACTACAATTATGTTTGAGTCCGGAAATCCATCATCATCACTCCTTTGAGTGCTCCATCTCTATCTGCCACCATCTCTCCTTTGAGTGGTCCGTATCTAGATATACACAGGACTCTGAAGCATTGCTTCTCACTAATTCCTTAAAGGAGACCCCAGAGCCACAGACTTATCTTGTCATATGCAGGTCTTTAGATGCTGGCTGATGGTGGAAGGTCCCCTCCTCTAGTCTATTTGATGCCATCACTGAAAGGAGTCAGTACTGCCTCTGATGACCATAGCAACCACCTTTAGCTATCCCCCGCTTCAGAACTGCAGTTCCTCCACAACATCAGGACACTGTTTAATTTGATGCACTGCATATTCCATGTCTGAAACATGATAAGAACAATATATAGGTCCTGGACACTAATCTGACATTGATTGACAAATTTGGATCTTATTTAATCATACAGAAGCTTTCCTTACTCAACTGTCAAGTGTGTTCCAGGGGTTACGTTGGGCAGATAGATTGCATTTTGAAAAATACATTAGCAAATTAGCCTGGCTAATAAAATATTCAAGGTTATGGAAAGAATACAAACTGTCAAGGACAGATTTAATGGCTCCATGGCATTATTACATTACTTAAAATATTCTTTTCACTTTAAAGTAGAAATAATTATATATTGAACAAATACCAATATAAATTCTTCAGATTATAGACAGCAAAGATGATGGTGGCCCAGTGATTACATTGCCCTTGGAAGGCTGGAGTAGAAGGACTTTGAGTAGAGCCCACCCTGGCCTACACACTAAGATCTTGTCTCTAAAAAACAAAACAAAGCTAGAATAAGAAGGGTAGAGTCTTATTAGATCACTGTAAAGCTTCCTCTTTGAACTCTTGCCCTAGAAATATATTTTAAAGAAGTCCTGCAGCTTGAAGAATGGGAATGCCCATTCCCATTAAATAACCAAACATCCTTTTAGGTTCTATAAGTTATTGACAATATTACCTATTTCACTAGGTTGCTATTTAAAAAAGTTAAAGCCCATTGAAGTACCATGCAGCAACCAAACTTTGAAGAACATGAATGAAAAATTTTCCTCACAAATATGGTGGCCTTCTGCTTATATTATACCTTCTTCCCCTTATGACCTTTCCTGATTTTACTACCTCCTATCTTCTGTGAGCATCTGCTCCTCAGCCACGGTCCTCAGTCATCTTTCTTCTTTCCCCATAAATGATTTTCTCCCTCTCCCTACCCACTCCCAGACTCCTCCACCCTTCTGTCTGTCCATCTCTATCAGACACTGTCAGAACTATCAGAACTCACCAGTGCACTGCTACGTCTCATTCTTCTTCCTGTGTTCTCCCAACCTCTACATCTCTTAGAATCTCTAGATGTCTAAAGGAAGTGTTGTCTGCTCTGAAATCCACGGTTTCCCAGACACCCCCCTTCATAAATGTGACATTACTGTAGCAAGTAAAATCACTCAAGCATTCCCTCAATAACGAAATAAGGTCCACAGGCAGGTGGACATATCGGGTCAAAAGCCCACACCGTCCTTCCATGGTAGACACCAACCATTTCACCTCAGAAGCTTCTGGTGAGCCTGCTATGTGTCTCTGCCCTCACAGGTCCTCCATTTTATGCAACCTTCCGCAAAAATTCATTCCTTAGCATTCGGGGCTTCCCTATAGCAGGGCCCCAGAACAGCTGCCACCAGGCCCTACCATAATAGAAATAGAAACAATCTTTGCATGTTTAATCATTCTAGGGTGGGGGTCTTAACATTCATTTCTCATATTTGAAAATCATTTGATCATCCTCATTATCTCATCTATTTTTCTAAGTTCTCCGGGTATTTAGGAAAGCTTCTACCTAAACTTGTCAAAGCAGAAATCTGTAGTTACTCCTAAACCGATCTCATTTAGGCTGTCATCGCTTAGCCAGCTGAGAGGCCGGGGCTCTAACTTCAGTCCATAAAGATGTCATTGCGATCCTCATGGACAATTTACAGTGACATGCCCATAGGCATGTCAAGAAGAAATGTATATAAGTGTCAGAGTCAAATACTTGGTGGCAATTTATTCTGCCGTTTCTGTTGCTGTAATTTTAATGAGCACACTGCACACTCTCATGCGGGCCTTGCGAGCCATTAGCGAGCGGTGCTGTGTACATGACATAGACTCTGCTGGCAGAATAAAAACCACGCTGAATTTCTTCAAGATGATAAGACGCGAGACGTTGGAAACCCTCGTAAGTGACTTAACAAAACGAATGCCATGGCTTGTTTATGCTTTCATTAAAAATCAGAGAGATTTCAAAAAAAATGACAGCAAATATCACATACTCTTGAACTCCTAGAATGCATGTGCCTGAACTAAGTATTGGGAGGATGGCCCTGTACTCAAAGACCCTCGTCCTCTGCCCACACAAGCCTAGGAAACCTGAAAGAGTAGGGTGTGGGCCCCTTACAGTCACCTCCTCGCATAGTTTCCCTTCATGGTAAAGTAATCTGAACACAAAGGCAAACAGTAAGTGTTCATAAGGAACTTCTTATATGTCAGGATGCTATTCCAATTTATTTTTAAGCAGCAGATCCTTTGAACAAACTAAAACATGCTTTCCCATCTTTTATTGATTCCTCTGACCTGCAGTGTTTCCAGAGGAAAATATACAAAACGCCTCAGCAACTCAGTGAATTCGAAGACTGAAGAGGGGCCTGCGTGATGTCTCAGACGTTTAAGAACATTTGCTGCTCTTACATAAGACCTGAGTTCAGATCCCAGCATCCACATCTGGCTCCTCACACCCACTGCAGCTGCAGCTCCAGGACATCCAACGCCGTCGTCATGGCTCCAGGGGCACTTACACACATGTGGCAGACACTCGGACACATGTACAAACACAAACAAAAAACCAATACTAAGGGGAAAACACTGAAGAAGGTACAGCAAGTTGGCTCAGGAGGTAAAGGAAATTTCTGGCAAGTTTGATAATCTGAATTCCATACCCGTGATCCAAATGGTAGAGGAAAAGAAATGATTACTGGAAGCTGCCCTTTGGCCTCCACACACCTACACATATGCACACACACTAAATAGAAATTTTAGTTTACATAGTCTTTTAAAGCCAATGAAAAAGAAAAAGCAGATCTGCAAGACACATGGGCTCCCAGCCCCCAGTTTGTTTGCTGCAGACTCGAAGCACAATTCAGTGCAGTCCTTTTTGTAACAGTACTAGCAGACACCAGTCCTTCTGAAAGAAGAAACTTGCTCACCAATGAAGCTTTCTGTGCAATTTTTAAAATAGGCGTGATAGGTTTGCTCCTTTGTGTTATGAAATTATTAGCTGCTTGGGACAATAAATGTAAGGGGTGCCATGAAACAAGAAATAGTGTTCTATTCAGTTTAAATCAACATTGCAGGAAAAAAAAAAACACAAAACCTGGTAGAAACGTCATCATTGGCATACAAGGCATAGAAATGGCTGGACCAGGTAACACAGCTGTGTGGAACACCTGAAGAAAGGACATCGTATTGAGAGGATCCATCACACTCCACAGGAAAGCAGACTCGAAGCTTTTCACACAGGTCCCTCCCTCCCTCTCTCGTCTGCTTTCCTTTTGACTGGGACTAGCTAAAGTTCTCAGTGGATAACCTGCTTGAGCAGACCGCCCTGCCTGTACCCAGCCTCAGGGGCAAAGGGAACTAAACTGGAAGCGAGAATGTCTATGTTTCTGCATCTCTACAATGTTGGTTTCTTCCAAATTAAATATTTAATAAAGCAGCTGTTCTCAAAGAGCTTATCATTAGCTAGAATTTTTTTAAAAAAATCAGCAAAAAAAATGTGCTTTTATATGGAAGAATCTCGAATGAAGTGAAGAATGGAAAATCTTATAAGATGCTGTCAGCGGAAGGTGGGAAGCCTGGATAAGTGCTGAGTGGATCAGAGCCAATCCACAGAGCACAGCAAATCCTAAGTCTTTCCCACACTGACGCCCTGAGATAGATTTTTCTTTCCTCCGTCCAGATAAGTAAATCACAGAACAGAGAAGTGCACGCCCCACACCACTCACACCACATGGTCACACAGCTAATTGGGTGTGGAATTAGGACGGAATCCAGATCTTCAGACACTCTGCATATGCGGCACTCTGGTGAGCTGCTCCCTGGACATGTACAGCCGATGGGTAAGTTACTACTAACAACCCTAATATATCTAATATATATGTTCTCTAATATATCATGTGCCACACAGTTTCTGTCATTTTAGCAGAAAGATTTAATGATGCCATGACTTCCTATAGCACAGTGCTCTCGGGACGCCCTTGTCTTTACTGGCCTCTATATATGAATATGGGGTGAAGAAGGTCTCACAGACCAAAGCACTGTGAGCTGAAGGCTGGGGCTATTCTGGCACATCATCTGATTCCTGGTCTGTCGTTACACACACACACACATTCACGCACACATGAACAAACATGCACACACACATAGTAGGAGGACGATGACTAGCACACAGTAGATGAGAAACAAATGTCTCTGCTCTACACGAGACCTGTAAGGGACTTGGAGAGGAAGCAGAGTCCAGTCCGATTCAAGCTTGACTCCATCAACCTTCAGATGACCTCAAAGAAATGGCTTGACTCAACCTTCACAATGCTGTTAAAAGTTAAATCAATACTTCCCCATAAGGAAGGAATTCTCTGCAAGCCCAAGACACATGATCTCTGTGTCAAGCGGATACAGAAGAGCAGATCGAATTGAGGCTTCCCTCTTACAGCCATTGAAACTAAACAGGCTGTAAACACTGTACCTCAGTTTCTCCATCTATACAATTAAAATGTAACTTGCCCCATAAAGTTATGTAGATAACAAATAAAGCATGTATATGAATGAAATGTATATGCATGCATGTATCTATGAATACAGTTTTATACACATAATTACACGCAAGCATATTTACATGGACACATACAGATATTATAGTGCCAATAGCACGGCTCTATAGCAATTGCTCCCTTGCAGCCGGAAATGGCAGTGTGCCATTCGTTTCACCTGCTCCATCTCCCACTTATCTTAAAACACAAAAGACAAAGCCAGTATCCTGACCTTGCTATCCACTGTAATTGCCACACATTGTTCTAAACCCTATTTTAACACTCACGCCTGTATTAGCAAGTTCTTGCCGACACTATTATCAAATAAGTGTAGTTAAGATTGTGAACCACTTGATCTCTAGGAAGGGATTAAAATGAAAGCTAAATGTTACCTGGACAAATGAGGGTGATTTTTATTGGCAAAAGCACGACGGAAACATGGGGTACAACAGGAGTTCGGAAAGGGTGTTGACAGTGCTCATTAAGAAATATTGAAAAGGCAGTATGATATTTAAAAAAGCAATATATAATGAGAAAGGTATATTCAAATGCATGTGCTAGGATTCACAGGTAAGCCAACCCTTCACTAGTTACACCAAACTTAGGACCACTGCAAATATAGTAACAAAAATTATGCAATGATCTTGCTTAAAAGAATCAAAAGCAAGAAGCAAGCTAAAAGTATAAAACAGTTTATATATGTGTATTATTTCAGTATAAATATAAAATAAAATGACCTAAGCTTTAAAAAGTAAAATATTAGAAATGCAGAAAAATTTTATTATGTATAAAATGAAAAATAACTATCAGACATAACATAGGAGGAAATGCTTGTTTGAGGATGTGTGGGGTTTGAAATGAAGCTTGGCAGGTAAAGAGCTTCCTCTGTAAGCATGGGGACCAAAGCTTGGATCTCTGGATGGCCACAAATGTAGGTGCGCGTGGAAGCAATAGGGAGTCCCCAGCACAAGTTGGCATCCAGGTTAACCCAAGCAACAAAATTAGTGAGACACCCTGTCTTGATATACCACATGGAGAGCAATGAAGGAGATGTCTGACACCAGCCTTAGGCTTCTACAAACACATATATACATGTACATGTATACACATGCACCCCCATAGACATATGCCCACACATATCTTGTGAGCATTCAAATACACACACACACACGCACATGCACATGCACACACACACACACACACACACATATATACACACACAAAGAGACATGAGTATAGTATATGGCATTCAGTATAATTAAGTACTGTAAGTATTTTGCAAATATTAGATAATTAAATTTTTGTATTAACCCTTGAGGAGAGGAACAATATTTCCTCCACTTTGAAATGAAGACAACCATGTGCAGACAGGCAAGCAGCCTGTCAGAGCTGTAGAGATAAAAGAACACAGCCAGAGTTTGAACTAAGGATGCTGGTAAAAGTCTCTTCTCTAATTCACAAGTTTTTCTCCTTGTGTTAATTTCTATCATGTTATTAAAAAATTAACAACAGTTATAATATTTTATTGTCATCAAAGTGAGTTTATTTGTATAATAGAAAGTATAAAGGTATTGTCATTTCCTTGGCTGGTCCTAACAACTACATATTCTTTGACAAATCATGAATCTATTTTATGAAAAGTATTTTTAAATATAATGTTTATTTAGTGCTATGTTTTTCTTATTTTGCCTGTCACTCCATACTTTTAACTGAATAAGATGTTTCCTGATAATAATATCATTTCTGTGGGTCATTTAAAAAATACAATGGGGTGTCCATCACAGGTTTGCGCTTCTCAGACCTGTGATGCTTTCTAGTTTGTAGTTCTGGTATGAATGTATTTCTTCACTGGAGGTCATAGTGCAATCAGCATGGTAGTTAGATTCTGATTGTGGCTAGTCCCCCTGACATACCCCTATGCTTTGACTGAGGGCAGGGACAGTTTTTTTTTTAATAGAACCAGTTTATGTCAACAATCCTACTGTTAAAATCATTATGGCATAAACTAACTCAATCCAAAGGAAGCTAAAGGAAAATCATACTTCAATGATGATAATGTCATTTATGATATTAATACCTGGTTTGCAAAAATAAAATCCCAAAGTGAATTTTGCTTATAGACATTGTTCTTACAATATCCTACATAAGCTGTAAGATACCCTCTCCATGGAACCTTCACAGTTACACACTTCAGCTGAATTTCAAAACTGATGGTTCATATATTCGCGGAAATTTGCAATGAAATGATTTCTAGATTGCAAAAACCCAACGCTATCTTCCAAAAACCTTCAATAGAACTTCAAGGTGTTCTTTAACCTGAAAGCATCCTCAAACATCGCTGAAATTTTACAAATTACACAATGTTTCCTTTCCG